CCAGGCAGGACCCGCTTCGCTGAGAAGCAGGGACACCCAGCCCATCCCCACCCCACCAGCTGAACAATGCAGGATTCCCTCCTCCAGAAAGGCGTGTCTTTCAGAATCTGGGGGGTGGGGGGGAGGTGCCGGCCCACTACCCCCCATTCCCACACTCCCTCAGAGCCAAGGACAGCAGGAGCTGGGGCGGGGGCTTTCTCCAGAGCTCCCCTTGGCGCCTTCAACCTCCCCCCACTCGCCTTGGGGGCGGCGCCTAGGAACAGAGCACAGCCTTGCCAGCAAAGCACAGAAACCTTGGCTCCCAGCAGACCTCTCCCCCTCTGAAGGAGGTGCAGCTCCTGCACCACGCTGTTTGTACTCTATTTTCTCGGTTCAAAGACGCCACTGATTCCTCAACTATCCTCGACTACCCCTCAAACATGTGTTAACTTTACCACGTGTCTGGGGACGGGGCGGCAGGGGGCGGGGGGGGGGTGTGTGTGTGTGCAGATAATAAGAGAATGTCATGGACCTCACTACAACAGGATAAACCTGCACCTTAAAAAGGAAAAAACGTCGTAGCAATCATCGGGATGCCGCCTAAAACCATATTCTGCGCTAATTTTACTTGCACTCGATCCTTACTGTTACTTCGGGAAAACACTGGGGAGGGGGCCTTGCTCACGTAAGAGATGAGAAACCTAAGGTGCAGAGAGATCACGTGACTTACCCAGAGCCAAAAAGCATGAAAATGGTGAAGCCTGAATGTGAACCTTGAAATGTCAGCTAAGGCAGCTAAGCAGCGGACAATACTCCTAAAACACTGGAACCACTAACGACAGTGGGATTGCCTCCTTGAAAATAAAAAGACTAAACATAAAAAATAAATTGAAAACTGGCACCTGGAGGGGACAGGAGGGAACGGGCAAGCAGTGTGAAGCCAGAGGTAAGCACAGAGTCATGGCACTGGGCCCAGGGAGGAGCCCTGGCCAGAGGCTTTGGGCCTCTGGCTCCATGCTTGTGAGACGGGCAGGTTGTGAGCAGGAGACCCTTTCCTGTGGCTTAGGCTCTAAAACAGACAAGCAGGGAAAGCGACGAACACAGAGGAAACAGTGGCACCTGCTGGGTGCCTGGGACACAGAAAAGGAAATTAATTCCCTGGAGACACAGACTGACACTTGGAGGAAGCGGGACCGCAGAGACAAAGACCCACAGGCACAAAGACCCATGGGCAGAGCAACACATGGGCAAAGCTTCCCCCTGAGGCAAGAGTAACACCCCCCCCACACACACACCCACTGATACAGCACAGATCAGAACAGAAAAGGGAGCTACAGTTGCTCAAAATGCTGTGGCCACCTTGTTGTGGGAACAACTCCACCAACCCAAGGGACATGCCCCGGCTGAGGGCCTGGCCCCCCAGTACCAGTAGGAACACCCAGGGAGAAAGCAGGCAGCACACCTGCAAGTGCCCCAAGGAAGGCTCCATCAGTTCCACTTGGCTTTCCAGCCTAGCGGAACATGGCTTTGCAGCCCAGGCAGACTCGGGATCGGTTTCAGCTTTTCTGCATAAAACCATGCAACAGCAACCAAACCTTTAAACCTCATTTTTCTCTTCTTTAAATGAGACTCATGCTTACCATCAGGTGTGGGACCCGGCAGAAGGACGTTTGGAAAGCAACTTTCCCTGCCTTTCCCCATCTCTAACACCATCTCTGAGTGAGCTGAAAACCTGCCTCTGTACTTCCTCCCTAAATAAGAAATTACACTAGGAATTATTTCACAATAAAAAATATCACTAATCGGGCACTTAACGTATGCCAACCCCCGTGCCACACACTTTACATATGTTGCCCCATTTAATCTCAGCTCTACCTCTGATCAGCTGAAACGTGGGAAAGTTTTTACTTTCTGAGCCTGTTTCCTCCTCTGCAAAGGACAGGAAATCACTTCAGCCTCATAGGGCTGTTGCAAGATCCACTTAGAAAAACTGTGCAGAAGAGCTTAGCAAAGTGCCTGACACATGCTCAAAGTTTACCTGCAACTATTATTTCTATCATCCCTGTTTATTCCAACATCCCAACGACAAAAACAAACAAAAAAAGTCACCCTACACATACAAAAAAAATAAGCATACAACTACTGAGCAATGAAGTAGGTACTAAAACCCAGGTCTGCTCACCTCCAAAGCCTGTACTGTTAAACGGTACATCATGTACGTACAGACACCCCGTGGGCACCCCGAAACGTGACTTCTTGTCTCCTAATCCAGCCACCCCCTACCCCACTCTAGGGTGGGCCGAAAGGGGAATCCCAGCGCCCCATGGGGCCCTCCGAACACAGGTAGCTTAAGCCTCAAGCCTACCACCTTCCCTCGGCCTAGCTTCCTCACTCTCAAATCGGAATAAGGAGACAAAAGAAACCTGTTAACTATCTAACGCTTCTCTCAGTGCTGACATTTTTGGGGCCCCCAAAGTAATCAGCGTTAGCACGGCCCCGTGCTTGGACTCGGCGTCACCCGAGGGGGACGTGCCTCCCACCCTCCCGACTGAACCAGGGCCCCCTACTCGCTCAGCCTCAGTCTCCTCCCCTCCACGCTGAGATTTACGAAGCTGAGTCTAGGTATCCCGAGCTGCGATCCTACAGGACGTGGGGTTTGCCTCTCTAGCTAGGGAGCGATGGAACGCCAACATTCCGCACTGTGATCGCCGGGAGAGCCAGAACCCCGAGAAAGGGGTACAGGCGTGTGAGAGGAACACAGAGCACGCACAATGAGGCCTCTTCCACAAGCGCCGACCCTGGCGCCCCACGGCAGCGGCCCGGCGTGACACTGGCGGCCGGTCCGCAGGACCAGGCGCAAAGGGCGGCGGTGCTACAAGCGCCCCCCCCCCGCGCGGCCCGGCCCGTGCCCACGTGAAGGGGGTCCCACAACGGCCATTTTGGAACAAAGGGGGCGTGGAGACCCGGGCCGCGGGCCCGGCCGGAAGCGGAAGTGCCAAGGCAGCCGTAGAAAAGGAGGAGGTGCGAAACCGAATCTATATAATCTCCTTTCCAGATTAAAAAAACCTAAGTCCGCGAGGGAACACCCGGCGAGCCCGCCGCGCGTGCCGGAGGCCACGTGGGGCGCGGAAAAAGGAGCGCATGCGTCCGGGCCTGCGCTCGCCGCTCCCTCCCCTCCCCTCCTGCGCGGCGGCACGCCGGGAGGTCACGTGAGCGAGGCGCGCGCCGCGGGACTTGGTGGGGGGGGGGCGCCGCGCGGCCCTGAGAGGAGGGGGAAGCAAGGAGGAAAATGGCGGGGGACACGGAGGGAAGCCAAGAGTCGCCCCGCCCGCCGTCCCGCACCCCCGGCGCCCTCACCTTGCTTATTCTCGTTGAGCTGCCGCTCGAACTCGTCGAAGTCCGACATGCTGAGGCGGCCGCGTAGGGCCCTGTGGAGCTCTCGCCTCGCCTTGCCGCGCGCCCGCTCCGGCCGCTTCGGCTACTTCCGCCGCTTGCTTCGGCTACTTCCGGCCGCCGCCGGCGCTCCACCGCCTCCTACCTAATCAAGCCCGGGCTGCCCGCCCCACCCCAGCTCCGCCCCTCTCCCCGCCTGCGCGCCCGCGAGGTGCCCCTCCCCCCCCCGGGCCTGGCTCCGAAACGCGTCGGCTATTTCCGGACCGTAGAGGAAAGCCTCGGGAGCAGCAGCTACGGCTGCTTCCGAAAACACCCGAAGCGAGGGTTTCGCCGCCTCCCCAGGTTTTCGTAACTTTTCGGATATTAGCTCTTCAACGTTCAGATGTTTCCGTAGATCCTCGCGTTCCTCTGCACCCAGCCCCCTCTAAGAATTCGGCTCCTTCCGAAAATTGAAATTGTCCCAGTCTTTGCTTGCGCAGATTCTCCCCGCTCTTCTCCGCCGGCCCTGTCCAAGCAATCGGCTACTTCCGACAAGCCTAACCGTCCCGGACTTCGTCACTTTCCGAAGGCTTCCGGAGCTCGCCCTCAGACCCAGCCAGAGATTAAGCTCGTTTCCAAACTTCGGCTCTTTCCGGAGATGCCAGGAGCACCCTCCTCCCCTCTCGGAGAACTTCGGCTCCTTCCGCCACCGCTTCGGGAAGGCTTCACTCACAGGAGATAACTTCGACTTTTTCCGTCGGCACTTCGGCTCCTTCCGGCTCCGGGAACCGAAAAGGGAGGGAGGACAGAGGAGAGGTGGGTCAGGGGAAGGGAAACGGAGAAGGGGCAGGGTCCCGGCTCTCGGAACCTGACTCTCCGGGTGGGGAAAGGGGAGGAAAAGAAGGGCTGATCTTGCGGAGGGCCTAAGAAGGTTGCGCGAGACAAAATCAGCCAGCGGGGTGAAGGGTGCGCGCGGCCGCTGCGGAGGTTGCCAGAGCGGCTTTGTGCGCCTGCGCAAGGGGGAAGAGGCGGGGCGCGAGGTGGGCTTCTGCGCCTGCGTAGAAGCCGGTCTGAGGCGAGGTTTCTCAACTGTTCCGGAAGGGTGCCCGCTTCCCGAGCCCCCAGAGCGCGTGCGCGAGTCTTTCCCTTCCTCCAGGGAAAGTACTGCATTCCCGACCGTTAAGCTAGGCCGCCCTCTCCTGGTTGCCATGGCAACCACACAAGCGCGCCCGCCCCACCCACCCACCCGCCGCGCAGGCGCAGCAGGCGACGTAGCGGACACTTCCGGGAGGCAGATAATTTCGCTTTACCGCCTCCTGGCGGAAGCCTACGCTCAGAGAGTCCCCGTTCCCCTCGTTGGCCGCCTCCGCCAGAGGTTTCATTCAGACGCGCCTCCTGCCTCCGTGCCTCTAGTCCAAGTAGCCCAGCGGGTAGTGCTCACGCCTTTTTTCCGGAGCTCTGCCCCTCCGAGTTCCCCAGGGCACAGCTCCTTCTCCCCTCCCACCCCTGTCTCCGGGGAGCTAATTACACCCTGTCTCCCCAACCTCCCCGTTTCCCGCCTGAGCGTCCGTGCCCCGGAACCCCTCAGAGCCTCCGTCACCGTCTTCGCGGCAACGGCCACCCCCTCCCAGGAAAAGGCCGGGGCCCAGTTTATTCCAAATTTTATCATCTCTTTTTAATTTAAATTCACTTAATAATTATCTGTTTCACGTGGACTCGAGGCGGTCCCGGAACGCGGTTTGGGAGCTCCTTGCAGGGCGGGCAGGTGGGCCAGCCTCTCCTTGGGGCTGGGGGCGGCAACGGGGTATGTACAGTGCCCTCGCCTCGCAGTCCCGCAGTTTTCCCAGGAGCAAGGGCCGGGTGACGGCAGGACGGTGCCGCTCAGGTGGGAGGGGGTGCCAGTGTTTAGGAAAGGGCAGAAACCGGCCCCTGGACAGTAGTTCTTGGACCGCCCCCACCCCAGGGAATGCGGAGGACGGGGAGGATGCTAAGAATGAGAGAGGCAAAGGGGCAGATCTATATACAAGGGACCCGGGAAGGGGGTGGCGGTCCGCAGGAGGGGAGGGAGAGAGGCACGCGCAGAAACAGGCCACCCATCCGCCCCCATGCCCTCGTGAGGGCCCACCACTCCTACACACGCTTGACCAATGCCGAGAGGGCGGAGGGGGAGGGAAAGAGGGGCCGGGGGCGTGTCCCGGGCCAGGTGGGGCGGAATCACCGCTTGAAGCGGTAAGTGATGGGAAGCAGCAGCTTGCTCTTCTTGAGGGCCTGCACCTTCTTGAGGGTCTCATCGTCCAGGGCCAGGAAGCAGCGGCGCGAGTACTCGAGCAGACGCTCCTTGGAGGGGTCGAACTCGCCCACCTCCGCCAGCTTCTCGGGGGCCACGATGAGCAACTCCGCGATGGGCGTGGTCAGCGCCACCGTGTTGCGGTCCACTCGGTGGTGCTCGAAGGCTCGAGACATGCTCTTCAGCTTCTGGAAGGTGCCCAGGATCTTCTTGTAGCGGCAGAGCACACCGTCGGCGTCCTTCACTGCAGGGCCGAGGGGAGAGAGCGAGAGAGAGGCATTGGGGGGGGGGGGGGCAGAGAGAGGAAGTGGGAAGGGGAGGCCAGAAGATCAGGAGAACAAAACAGAGAACGAGGAAAAGCAGTGAGAGTTACAAGAGGCGGAAGAAATGTAGACAGAAGTCGGACCAGAGGAAAATCAGAGAAGGCAAGCCCAGGGAGGGGGATGAGGAGGAAAAATGAAGGAGGGAGTGGGTTCAAGGGTGGAGTTCAGCCCATCTGGGCCATCGCCCCCTCCCCTGTTACTGACAGGAGCCCAAGGCTCAGGAAGGTCAAGCCCCAGGCGGCGGTGAGGGTGGACACAGATTTAAGGATTGTAAACCAGGACCACACGTGGAGGCCGGGACAGACAACCAGGTCTGGTCTCTTTGCTGATGGGGAGACCAAGGCTTGGGGGGACAAGGGGGAGCTCCTTGGAGGTCACAGCAAGTCCCCAGCCCAGAGCCCCAGAGCCCCCCACCCCCTGTGCTTCGCTTACCCCGCTGCCTCTCTCGGGCCTTGGGCTTCCCGAAGCGCCTCCGGCCAGTGCCCCCTTTCTGCTTCTGCCTCTTCCTCTCCCCGTTACTGCCTTGTGCAGATGCTCCGCTGAGTGAGGAGGCAGCCGACTCGGGGTCTGAGGCTTCGCCCCCAGCCCCGCCTCTGCCGTCCCCCTCAGCCCTCCGGGGCCCAGGCTTCAGCCGGCAGTAGTCCTCTGGAGAGGTGAGAGGAGACACGCGCATGCGTGAACTTCACGAACAGGAGGGAGGGAGGAGGAGTCGGCCAGGTGGGGACCGACAGCACTGTCACACAGGTCCCCAGGAAGGGGTCCCCAAGGAGGGAACAGGCAGGAAGTGCACTGTAGATGCTGAAGTTCCACAAGCAGCTGGGATTTGGGGACAGAGATCCCAAGTCTCTGTGGGGTGGGGCATGGGCTGAGGATGCTCCTCAACTCAGTGGCAAGAGGTCTGGGGGAGGGGCCCAGTGGACCAAGAGAGTCCCGGGGACCTCGAGACAGTCTTTGACTTTGTGGGGTTCCCACGGTGGAGGAGGGGTGTTCTGGGGACCCAGTGAGGCCTCTATAAGCGGGGAGGCAGGCAAAGCCTGGGTAGGCGTGGGAGTGCAGACCCGGAGGGAAACCTTAGTCTCTGGGTCTAGTGCGCTGGGAAGGGCAGGTGGGCGCCCACCCTCACCCAGACAGAGGAAGCAGCGGGGGTTCTTCCCGGCAGGGCCCTCCGAAGGGTGGGTTTGGAGGTCCAGTGTTGGGGTTCCCACCGAGGAAATCCAGAAGCCCCTGGGCCTGACCATCCTTGGTAGGTTCCCGTCAGTGTGGGTGGATGGTGGGAGGCCCCAGCAACCCAGGCTAGAGGTGGCTCAAGAGCAGAGGGGTCCTCAGTAAAGTAGGTGTTGAAAGAACACAGGCCCTTTGCCCAGACTTTCAGCTGACTTCACAGAGAGGGAAGTGGAAGCTTTTGAGGGAGCCAGCCAGGGGCTGAACGGCAGGAAGGGGAGAGGACAGTCTGGATCCACCAAAACACAGCTAAAGATTTGGCAGAGACAAGCCCTATAAGGGAAGGGGATGGGACAGTGTTCAGAATACATGGACCAGCAGGGCACAGTGTCCTGTCCAGCAGCAGAAGGACTCAAGCAGGAAGGAAGCTGGGCTTGAAGCCCCAGACATGGCCACAGGTGCAAGGAGCGGGCAAAATGACAGGTCCCCCTGAGCCGCCAGAGGATGAGTGTGGGTGAGAAGGGTCCTGTGTCCCTGAGGAGGGCCGAGCTGGGTGCCGGGGCCCAGGAGTGAGATGGGGAGGGGACTGGCGGCCTCACCTGCATCCATGCGGGCAGAGGAGATGAACTTGTCCAGCTGACACCGCAAGAAGTCCCTCTCCTCCTCCAGGTCCTCAATGCGCTTCTGCAGCCATGAGTTCCTCTCCAGGGCCATGTGCAGCTGGGCCCTAACACCGTTCATCAGGGCCACAGTCGGGGACGCAGCCCCCGGAGGCTCTAGGGACAGCAGAGGACCCTGGTCGACCCCAGGCCTCAGGGCCCTGCACCCCTGCCTGACTCAAGTCCCCTTTCAACCAACTCACCCTCGAAGTTTCCCTGAGAGGGGCTCAGACTGTAAAAGATCTGTGGGTCTAGGTGGGGCGTCTCGTCGAAGGGGATGGAAATCTCGAAGGCCTCATTGTCCTTCTTCACTGGAAAAAAGAGGCCGGGGTCACCCCAGGGAAGTCCCAAGGAGCCTCGGACCAGCCCCCAACCACGCAGCCCTGGAGAGGAAAGGGCAGGGACAACGGGCAGCAGCTGTGGGACCAAGGGTGGAGCAAGGTCCAGTTCCTCACCTGTCCTCCTCCGGCTAATGTTTCGCTCATTCATGGTGCGGCCTCCTGCGGACCCCAGCAGCTGAGAGCCTCAGGGGCACTGGACAGAAACAGCAGCCACAGATGAAGGAACACAGACGGACTCCTCGGGGACATCCCGGGGGAGCTGGGGCTCACGACTGCGGGAGGGCGTGCTGAGGGCCGGGACTCCTGGGTCTGATGGAGGAGGGGACCCAGACCCCTCAGGACTGAGGGAGGACCCCTGGGGTTACAAACTCCTAGACTCTAGAGAACGAGGGTGCTGGAAGAAGAAGGACCGGTGGGGTCGACAGAGCAGGCACATCCTGGCCGAAATAGGACAGAACCTCATCACAGGTCGCCTCGGGGCCAAAGAAGTGAGAGGTGCGGGGGAGGGAGAGTGTGCCCCCAACTTCCAGGCGCAGGGTGGGGGCCCAAGCCACGAGCCGCGCCTCCCCACCCCCGGTCACCCCACGCACTCGCGTGGGCGATCAAGGCGATCGCCCGTTGGGGAGCTGGGCGCGTGCGCAGTGCGGGGGAAGGTCGTGAGTGGGGATGCGCCCCCGCCCCCGCCCTTTGTCCCGCGGGTGGGAGGGGGAGCGACGGTGGCAAGTGGTCTCAGCGGGGGATGCACCTGGCCGCAGGTGCCGACGCGGCCACCACCGCCCCCACGGCCCGCAGGTGCCCGGGGTCGGACTGGCCGGGGCCCCACGCTCACCCACCCGCGCGCGGAATCCGGCCCGAGGACCGACGGCAGCGGCGGCGGCGGCGCCCATGCCCGGCGCCGGGGAGCGTCTGCAAAGAATAACGGGGAGCGGAGGGAAGCGACCGCACACCCGCGGGCAGGGCGGCAGAGGCGGCGAGTCTCGGAGCCGGGCGATGGGAAAGGCAGGGACGCCAGGACCGCCCGATGCGCCAGTTGGCGTGCCTCCTCCAGGAGTCCCCGGCCCCAGATGAGGCCGGCCGTTTGCGGCGGAGGCCGGGGCCGCACTTGCGCGATGGCCCCTTGCAGCGCACCCCCCGCCCTTGGCGAAGCCTGGGCAGGGAACGTCACGAATTTCCCAAATCCTGGAGAGCTGGCAGCTCCGGGGGTCCCCAGGGGTGGGGGAGTGGGGGGCGACGGCGCGCCGAGTCCGGCCCGGGAGAGGCGGGGAAATATAGGAAACAGCCGGGAAAGTTGAAGCACAGGGAGGATCCCCTTAAGAGATACCCTGGGAACTGGCCGGTGCGAACCCCTGCAACCCGCTCTGCTCCTTCGCTCCTTCATCTCCCACTGGGCTTCAGCACAGCCAGACCCCAGGGTTCCCAGGATCATGGGGTAGGGAGAGTTACTCCTCCCCGAAAATAAAGGCCTAGAAACCACTCCCCACCCCTGCATCATCACCCCCGTGTTGTTAAGAGCTGGCTTTGGAACATTCAGACCTAGATTCCAGTCCTGGCCGCTCCTTCACTGCCTCAGTCTACCTGTAAAGTGGGGAGATTATAATCCCTTTTAGGTTTGTTGTGGGTATATAGGATGATATGACACGCAGAACGCTCAACTCAGCGCCTGACCGCAGTGAGAGCTCAAGACAGGGCACTGTTACTGTTATCTGAAGTTAGATGGTGGGAAGCTCTTTCCCTCTCTGGGAAGTAGAGACAATTTTTTCCTCCACCCAAAAAGAGGTCGGAAGAAGAAATGAGGCCCAGCACAGTGCCTGGCACAAATCCGACACACAAGGAAAATTCATTGAGAAGGCAGATGTTTATTCAGCTTCTGGCCCAGCTCCACCTGCCTCTCCTCCCATTCTCAGGTAGCTTCCATGCTCTGGAATTTCTGCCAGCCCTTATGAGAGTCGTGCTTTAACCCTGCAGCGGGAGAACCTAAATGTCTGTGCCACCTAGAAAGTGTCACTCTCCCCTCCTACCCACTTCATACTACGGATAAATTGCAGCCTCAGTCAAAACGTCCAGGGGGAGGCACCTGCCCTAGATCGGTGTTTTTCAAACTACAGGTTCATGCGCAGATAATATGGTAGAATGAAATCTGGAATTGGCAGTCTTAAAAAAAAAAAAAGTAGATGGAAAAAAACAGAGATCTGCACATGGCAGAGGTAACTACTGTTAAACCTTTGTTTTGCATATATTGTGTATCTATACGGCGTTGCCATATAAAATGTTTCTTACAATGGATCGTGGTTTAAAAAAAAAAAATATTTAAAAACATTCGGCCTATATGACACAGGCGGTCAGGAGCCAAGCTAGGGCGAACCCCAGTGCAGGCCAACCTTCCCAGGCAAGCCAAGGCCCAAGTGGGCCAGGCACTTGCTCAGTCTCTGTGCTAGACAGTCGGCAGAGACACGGTCCCCCAAAACCTCACACGCTCAAAGTGGAACCTGTGTTTAGTGAGTGTCCAGTCTCAGACCCTGGCTGGGGAGTGGGAAGCAGGTCTGGGGCCCCTTCCCCCAGCATCGCAGGGGGGCCTCAGCAAGATGCTGCAGATTCCTGATGGCCCCCAACCATGGGTTTCCAGGCCCGAGAATTTCAACACACAGCACTCTGCTCCCTACCCCTCCAGTCAGGGCTCAGCCGTGGACTCGCTGATGTCTCTGAGGTTAGAGGACTCCACTCTGTAAACGTGAGGTCTTTTTCCCATCCTTATCTCCAAAACACTGAGGACCCGAAGATTACTCCTCAAGGCAGGGCTCAGCCTCCCCACGGGGGGGTCCTGTGTTTGTGTCCAGGGCCCCCGCAGCCCAGCCTCTGGCGCTCCCGGCTGTCTGAGGGCGACGGGAGTCCACGCTCCCCACAGAATCCCATGGTACCTGAGGTACCCCGCAGCCTGGCTCAGGGATGCTTCCACCGAGCGTGCTTCTGCAGCGTGTTCTGCTCCATAAATCGGCGTGGACAGTGCGGGCACTGGTAGGGGCGCTCCCCGGAGTGGACCCGGCTGTGCTGGGCCAGCTCGCCCGCCTCTCGGAAGCGGCGAGGGCAGAGCGGGCAGCCGTGGGGCCGCCCGCCACCTGCCCGGTGAATGGAATGGTGCCGCGCCAGGTGGCTGGCCCGCTTGAATGCCTTCCCGCAGGTATCACACTCAAAGGGCTTGACCTCCGAGTGGGTGATGCTGTGTCGCTGAAGGTAAGACATGTACTCGAAGACCCGGGAGCACACTGGGCAGCTGTAGCACTTTTTCTGAGCCGAAGCCCCATCGGGTCCGGACTCTCTCTGAGACTCCTCGTCCACCAGCACGGTGTACGGGACGCCCTGGGTGTCTATGAGCAGGTAGTGGTTGGGCCTCGAAGGGGACGAAGTCTGGGGACATCCTGTGGAAGAGGAAGGTCCGGGTTCTGGGGACCCGCCTGTCCGAGGGGGAGGCGCCTCCATGGCCTCAGCGGAGGGAAGCGCCAGGGGCTGGGGGCAGGGGGACGGCAGCACCAGCATCCGGAGGGGTGACTGAGGCCTGGTGGAGGGGAGAGAGGATGAGAAGGTTACAGTAGAGGAGGGAAGCTCAGCCCCACGGGCTCTGTTCTCCCCTCTCTATGTAACCTACTCAGGAATTCTGCAACCCCCATCCCCCATCTCCTCTCCAGTCCTTCGGCCCTGAACTCTGTGACCCTCTGTAAGGCTCCTACGCACCCCCTCCTTGAAAAACCTCTCCGATTCTGTTTCACCACCGACTGTACGCACAGGCTCTCTTTATCTTTCCGCTTTGTGCCCCCGCTCAGGTCACAGGTTGCCCGCAGGCCCCACCTAATAGACTTCCAGGCCTCTCCCTTGTCCACGCCACTGATCCCAGTCTGGGTGTCAGTCCATCCTACATATTCCACCAAGAAGCATTTCCTACCCCCTCTATATGCACTCAGGCCTTCTCAAATGGGCTGTCACGTTGGGAACCCCATGTCCTAACCCGCCCACCTCCCCTTGCCCCGCTACCTGCAGGTTCTCTCCAGTCCGCGCCCATCCACCCCCCAGTCCTGGCAGTGTCCCAGCGCTCTCTAGGGTTCCACCAGCGGCCCGGGCCTTCAGGCCTCTCTACGCAAGTTCTCGGCAGCGCCCCCTCCGAGCCGTCGGAACAGCCCCTCCCCGCCCAGCGCACAGGTACCCGCTCACCCGGCCCCGCCCCTCCCTACGGCCCGCTCCGGCTCCCTCCCGCCTCCCGGCCCCCGTACCCGGTGCAGCAGCCTCTCGGGTCCGGGCGACTCCGGAACGGCCCCGGGCTACTCCCGTGGTTGCAGATGGCGGCGGGTCGGTGGCCTCAGGGTATCCCCCAAGAGCTGGCGGCGCCGGGTAAGGGGAGAGAAGACCAGGGTAAAGAGAAGAGGGTCCAGGGGAGGGCGGTGGGGGCGGGGGCGCCTGGGCCATCAGAAAACGGCTCCGGCCAGAAACACAGGCCGAGATGAAGGTTCCCAGGTGCTTATGGTCCGGTTTCCATCCCCCAACCCCGCTGCCTGCTTCACCCCGTACGCCCCCACCGCTCCCATACGCAAATAAAAACCCTAAAATGGAGTGCGGAATGTTTATTGAGTAAAGGGTGAGGGCGGTGGGTGGAAATGGGGCGACACAGAAATAAGCCAGACTCTGCCCGTGCTCTTTTGTCAAATCTTCCACGCAGACAACAGTTCACCACTTCGGGGCTGACAACCAGGGCTCTGAGAGATTACGCCGCTTGCAAAGGCTCATACAGCACAGTTGGGCGGAAACTGGGCTCCGACTGGCTCCCAGGCACTGGGAGGGGCAACGACTTGGTCTACATCACACAGCTAGAGAGGGAGGGAGGGAAGGAATGTTTCTCCCTTTAGATAGTTGGGGAAACTGAGGCCCAGGGTAAGGCAGTAACCTCAGCGGAGTAAGGGAATGTGTGTGGGAGTGACGCTGTGTGGGTCAGACGTGGTGGCCCAGAGGGGCCGGGCAGCACAGGCCGGGTCTGGAACTTAGTGGAGGCGCACGTGCTGCGCCAACTCCGCTGCGTCCTGGAAGCGGCGTGGGCAGAGAGGGCAGGTGTGCGGTGGGCCGGCGCGGGCACGGTGCGTGGCACGGTGCCGCGACAGGTGGCTGGAACGCTTGAAGGCCTTGCCGCAGGCGCCGCACGTGAAGGGCTTGAGGTCCGAGTGCGACACGCGGTGGCTCTGCAGCCGCAGAGGGCTGGCAAAGACCCGGGCGCACTCAGGGCAGCTGTAGCCCTTGCGAGGGCCTGGCTCTCCCGTTGGTGCCTCGCGCTGTGGCGGGCCCCGGGGCTCCTCCTCCAACTGCACCGTGTACGTGTAGGGGACCCCGTTGGCGTCGATGAGCAGGTGGCGGCCCAGCCGCGGGGGTCGGGGCCCCGCCGCCGAGGAAGGAGTGGAGGAAGGGCCTTCCGTCTTGGGGAAAGGGGGAGCCTTGGGGGGCGGCGGGTCCATGGTCTCCGGAGAGGAGGACCGAGGGTGGGGTGGCCGCGGCGGCAGCAGGAGCATCTGGAGCGGCAGCTGGGAGCGGCGGAGGGGAGAGAAGTTAAAATCGCCACTTCCTGGGGAGAGTGTACCAATTCTCACTGCTTGTTACCCTCTCTGTACCACTGACCTACCTTCCCTACAAAAAAAGAAACTGCTTCTAGGCCAGATCGCTCTACTTGCATCAAGCAGCTTCAGGGGCTTCTACAACTAAGCTCACCATCTCAGGGCCCCGACCTGCCTTTCCTCCCGGGTCCTCCTCTCATCCCCCAGCTGGACCAGAGGGCTTCACCCAGCCACTTCCCTCCTCCTCCACCCCCAAAGCCAATCAATTTCCAACTCTATTTCCCCCTTTACATCTTCATAGCCTCTTTCATGTCACGCCAGGGCTCTTGCCTCCAGAATTTCTCTAATGGGTCGCTTCCTCTTCTTCCCAGCCCCAGCTCAGGTTGCATCCTCTCCCCCCAGGACCACCGCAGCAGCCTTTCTTTGGCCTCCAGACCCTCCTAGATCTCCATCCCCACTAGGTTCCCTGGAAGGCCTCCCATCTCTGGATACAGCTGTAGCCTCTCTTAATTTCCTCTCTAGGTACATCCCCGGAGCCCCACTAACCCAATTCCCCACTTTTCACCCAGGGCTCCTCTATCCTGTTCCTACATTTAGCACCTTAAGGTTTCAACATCCTCTCCCATTACCTAACCTGTCCTCGAAATTTCAGGTATGCCTACCTAGGACGCCTCAACTGCCGGCCTTCTACGTAGCCCACGGCCCATGAACTTTGCCACCTGCTACATCTCCACCCAAGGGTCCCTCTCTCTCCCCAGCCCCTAGGTATAAGCCACTGACATCTTTGCTGTTCCTCTCTATACCCCTCGGGGCCTCCTCTCACTCCCCGTGACACACACCAGGGCCCCCGAGTCCCTCTCCCAAGCCCCCTTCTCCCTCTCTTCTGCATGCATCTGGCATCTTTATGTCCCCATTCCTATCCCTGCTGTACCAGCACAGCGCCTCCACCCCGCTTCTCTGCTCCGCTTCCTTCTGAACCCCAGGGCCCCTGTGTCCCCCTTTCCACTACGCCCCCAGGAACCCCTCGCTCCCGCACTCCCTCCTGCCTGTCCCCCGAGCCCCGGCTCCTTCCCCGCCGTGCCCCAGCCCCACCCCCACCCCCGTTATCACCAGTCCCCTCCCCCAGCCCTGCCCGGCCTCACGCCGTCCCGGAGCCAGGCTCCTCCCTCCATCCGGGCCCCCGTACCCGGTACAGTGGCTTCTCGGGTCCGGAGGAGCAAGCCGAGGTCCCGAGCGGCCCGGGCTTCCCCTCGCGAGTGCCGGCGGCGGCGGGACCGAGGCTTGGGGGAGCTCCGGGCCGGCGGCGCCGGGGACGCGGGCGCGGGGGGCGCGGGGGCGCGAGGGGCGGCGGCGTCCCTGGGAAAGGGCGCCGACCGGAAACGCGCGCGCCGCAAGGAAGGTTCCGCCGTCCCAGAGCCAGCCGCTCTGACGGCCCGCTTTTTTTGAGTATCTAGGGATCGCGAGAAAGGAGAGGGGCCGAGCGCGCGGGAACCACACAGCCCGCCCCCCCCCCCCCCCTCCCTTCCCATCCCCTTCGGGGACAGTTCATTCTCTGGGACAGAGACTGATTAGTAGACGAGACTAGGCGAGGCTGTCCTTGCCCTAAGTCCCACAAGGAACGGACGCGCCCAATCCGTCCTCTTCCCACTGGCCGACCCGCCTGCATCCCCTTCCAAACGAGGCAGAGAGCGGGAAGAGGGAAGTTTCTGTCGGCTGGGCAAATGGGGAGACCGAGGTGCAGACAGGGCCAAACCTTGCCAGATGCAGAGGTGGGCAAGAGTGGCTCTTCCCATCGAGGAAGGGGGAGACTGAGGCACAAGGAGCAGCAGCGACAGTGTCTGGGTGGTGTCGGCACAAAGCGCGGTGGGCCCGATGCTCCCGCGCGCAGAGAGGAAACCGAGGTCCGGCGGCCGCGTCCTGGTGCAGGAGCGCGTTGACCAGACAGAGGCAGGGCAGCCAGGCCAGATCCGGAACCTAGTGCGGCGGTCGGCGCCAGGCCGCGCCAGATGGCCGGAGCGCTGGAAGGCCTGGGGCAGGCGGCGCACGCGGAAGGTTGGAACGTCGAGTGCAGCGCCGGGGAGCGCCCGCAGCTCGTCCTCCAGCTGCGCGGTGAACTAGTAGCGAATGCTGCGCGTGTCCACGAGCAGGTCGTGGCGCGGGGGGAACCAGAGGGGGGCGGCCGCTGCAGCTGGGGAGGGGAGGCAGCTGGGGGCACAGAAGGGAGAGAACTGGCGTTACGGTCGCGCCCACACCAAGGACCCCGGCTTGGCCAGAGATGCGTCCGAGAAAGCTGCCGAAAAGAACTTTCTGGGATGATGAAAAAGTTCTATGATCTGCGCGTTGTCCACTGGGACAGCCACTAGCCGCGTGAGGCTATTGCTCATTAGAAACGTGGCTAGGGCTTGAGGACCTGAATTTTAAATGGTATTTCATTTCTCTTAATTTAAATCTAAATAGCCACAGGTGGCTAACCGCTGCCCACCTTACGGTACAGCTCCTAAGCCACCCTCAACCAGTTGCAAACTGGAGACCCGCCGGCCAGAGAGGGCACAGTTATATTTGGTTTGGATCACAGATATGTCTTAATGTTTTACTGGGCAATATTTAAAAAGCCAGAAGATGCACACACACATTGCCAGCTATAGAAAAAAGTCTCTAGATGAGGCGATTAAGCATTCTCAGAAAACCTTCAAGAAACCTCCAGTGAACCAACAACTGTGATCTTAGGCTTCAATTAAAGAGCCTCCAGAACTGTGCTGTCCTAAAGGGCAGCCACCGGCCACAGATAGCTCTTAAGCGTTTGGCATGTGTCCGGTCTGAACTGAGATGTGTCATAAATGCAAGACACCTATAAGATTCTGAAGACTGAGTATGAAAAGAGTGTAAAGTATCTCATGAATGACTTCTCTGTTGATAACATTTAGAAATGATGCTCTGGGTCTACTGACTGGTTAAGTATGTTATTAAATTAATTTCAGCTGTTCCTCTTCACTTTTTAAAGCATGGCTCTCTACCGGAAACTGTTGTCCTAGAGGTTCTTCCTCTTTTGTAATTTTATGGGGTGGGGGGCAGTAGGGAGAGTGGAAACTGGTGAACTGGAAGGGTGTGCGCAGTTTAAAGGGGTAACTACACCTTCTGTCTGCACCAGGCTTCTCAACTTTGGCACTACTGACATTTGGGGGCTGGATCATTCCTTGTTGTGGGGGGCTGTCCTGTGCACTGCAGGACATGGAGCAGCGTCCCTGGCCTCCACGCTTCAGATGCCAGGAGCACCGTCTCTCACCCCTCAATCTCACTGCCCCCTAGCTGTGACAAGAGACTTGGCCAAATGTCCCCCAGGGGGCAGCATAGATCCTGGGCTCCACACACAACTACCACAGGAGTCTCCCACCCAGATCCCTTGCTTGAGTTTCAGACCCATGAAACTTGCTTTGTCCATGAGAGCCACGCCCAGCCACGCCCAGCCCAGCCCAGCCCACCCCGAACTCTGGAAATAATAACAAGGACCAACGTTTATTGGGCCCTTCCTATGGTGCCAGCCATCGCTAAATGCACTGAACCCTCAGAGCAGACCCAGGAGGGAGGTGCCATGCGGATGCCTATTTTATAGATGAGGAAACAGGAGCTCCGAGAAGTCACACATCCGCTGGACAGCACGTGCTTCTAACTGAGCGAGTCAGAGCTCATGGCCACTGTCTGCAAGCACCTCATGCTTCTCCCCAACCCACTGCCGCCACCGGCCCAGCTCACCATGACAGCCTCCCCCCCGCAACCCCCCCCCCCCCCGTCCCTTCTCTCTATGGCAACACTGCAGCAGTATAATTACGCTAACCCACAGAATCATGTCATCACCTGACCTAAAACCCTCCTTGCTGCACTTGGAATAAAACTCAGCCAGCCCACCTGGCCTACTTCCAGGGCCTTGTGTTTGCTGTTCTGCCCTCTGGAATACTCCTCCCAGCCCCTCACAAGGACACACCCTTTCTGGCCATTCAGGTCTCAACTCGAGTAATCCTTCGTCACTGAAGCGGCTGCTGGTTGTGTCAGAGCTCAAGCTGGTGAGCAGGTGAGGCCCTGCTCCGTCTGGTCAGGCCATTCCCTCCGCATCTCGTACTGCAGTCCGTAGTGGTCTTGCTCGTTTTTGGATTTGCTACTTTACTGCCTGCTTTTCCCGCTCTGTCCTAGGCAACATTCTACCCTCAGAACCTAGCAAAGGTCTGGGGAGAGGGTAGGGGCTCGGTTCAGTATTGGCTGAATGAATGAATTCAGTCACCCCGTCCAAAGGTAAAGCATCTCTCCCCACCAACGCAAAAAGCCTCGCTTATCTCCTGGGACAGGAGCATAATGAAGCCCCACACCCACACCAGTCTGAAGCTCTAACATCCTCATCCCGCCCCCCCCTTCTACACTCCCCAAAGCCAGAAGACACCAAGTTCTGTCCCTCCCTCATCCTGAATGTTCCCCTCTGCTCCCCAAGCCCCAGCTCTGGCCCCTCCTTCCTGCGCAGGGCCCCTGCACCAGCCTTCTCCCTGCTATCTTGGCCCCCAGTACTGCCCCCGCCCTCCTTGACACTCTTCTCACAGCTGTCTCATATGTAACCTCTGCACAAAATCTTGTCACGGCCCCCATGACCCTCAGGACCAAGTCCCCACGTTCCTCAGCCTGGGATTTGAAGCCCTTCATGAGGTGGCCCAGCCAATCCACCTCATCCCAGCCCCACATGGCATCTCACGGTCCCCTAATGGGACCTAGGGACGTGGCCCTAGGAAAGCACTCCAGCCAATAACTCACACCGCAGAGGAAAGGCTCCCACCTCACTTGTGTTCCAGCCCTACCCCTGCAATTAAAAAAGAATCAAAACTAACTAACGTTATCTGCACCTGTCTCAGCAGGCACGAGTTGCTATAAAGAAGTGATGGAGCGGTTGGCGCTACCTTCATATTAGGTGAGTTTGCAGCTCACCTGATAAGGATGTTTCATTCTATCCCATCTTACAGATTGGGAAACTGAGTTCCAGAATGGGATGGTGATCTATCTCAGGCTATAAACAGAGGCTGTGGCACAGTCAGGGATTCAGCAAGAGACTCCTGCATCTCACCCCTGGCCAGGATGGCTGGGAAACACAAGCCATTCCCTATTTCAGGATGAGGAAACTGAGGCCCAGAGAGGCAGCCTCAGGTCACACAGCAAGTAAACAGTGAGGCCAAAACCCCAGCCTCTACCTTCTGTACCAGAAACAAGAGATTCTATGGAGCCCCTGCAGTCTCTCCATGGTCCAGGAAATTCCTTCCAGCCAAGTGGTCCAGAACGTGCTGCGCCTGCTGCCCGGCATCCTGAAAACGCCAGAACACAGCGGGCAGGTGTGAGCCCGACCCAACCGGAGCTGGCGTATGAAGCGATACCTCGCCGGGGCGCTTGAAGGCCTTGCCGCAGACGAAGGGCCGGAGTTCTGAGTGGGAGATGCTGTAGCTCCTGCGGTGCGGGCAGCTCTTGAAGACCTGAAAACACTGGGGACAACTGAAGCCTTGCGGAGCGGGGTGGGGGGGTGTTGGGCTCCAGCCAGGGGGCCTCCTCCGTGTGCACGTATAGGGAACACCATTCCCATCAGTGAGCAGGTGACGGCCCCTGAGAGGCGGGCTGAGGCCGCGGGATGGGGATGGCGGGGGTGGAGGAAGAGGAGGGGGCCGGCTTAGGGGCGGGGACCACCCTAGGGAGGGAGAGGCCCATGGCCTCCAGAGAGATTCAGGGTCAAGGTACACTTTGGGAGGCTGAGGGGAGGACAGACGGGCGAGTAGATGAAGTTCTTTCTCCGGAATTCACCAGCTCAAAGCCTCTCCATCCCGCGCCCGCGAGTCTAAGCGAGTGACCCAGCGGACGCACCGCTCGGGCCTCTCCGATCGCCCGGAGCTCAGCGCCTACCTCCCGGCGCCGGCTCGCGGTGCGGAGGTCTCTCGGGTCCGAGAGCGGTGGGAAGCGGCTCGAGGGGCGGCCCCAGGAGGTCCGCCGCGCGGGGTGGTGGACTCGGAGAGCCCGGAGACGGCTCCCACTCCTACCTCCGTCTCGGCCAGACGCGGCCCCAGAAATCCGCCCCGGCGGGAAACAAACACCCGCGAACAATGGTTCCGGGTGTCTGCCCGCCTGACTTCTCTGCAGTAAGGCGGAGAAAAACCAATATAAAGTCATTGGCGACGTGGTAGATACAGAGGGAGGGAAGACAAAAGGGATGGCTTTTTGTCCGAAAAGTTGTGACTTTTCTTTAAAAGTCACTTTATCTATGGTTTCCCTGGCCGTCCAGTGGTTAAGACTCAGCCTTCCAATGGAGGGGGTGCGGGTTTGAGTTGGATCCCTGGTCTGGGAGCTAGGATCCCACATGACCGGCAGCCATAAAACCAAAACATAAACAACAGAAGCAATACTGTAACAAACTCAATAAAGACTTTAAAAAAAAAAGTTCCACATTAAACAAAAAAAGTCACTTTATCCTTCTGGGCTGGAGAAGAAACTAGTCGTCCTAAAATAAGAAATACTTTCTTCAATAGGAAAGAAAATAGACCGTCTACCTACAAATAGGAACCGAAACCAGAAAGGGCTAGTGACTGGTCGGCTGCTACACAGCAAAGACAAAGAGCCACAATTATTCAGCCGGTGGGACAGCTGAGGAAACCCAGGCCTTGTGATTTAATGTGTTACATGGCAAGAAAATGGAGTCAGGTATCATTCTCTGTGTTGGTGGTAAAACCAAGGCCAGAGAGGGGTAGTCACCGGCCCTGGGTCACACAGCTAGTCGGGGCTGGCTTGTATGATGCCAGTCCCTCCACAGGGCTGGAGTGGTGGAGGGAAGTGACACCCGGGTCTGGAGAACACCTGAACTCCTGGCCTCAGTCTCCACAGCCAGCCAGGAAGTCCTGCCCTGATGAATACACCAGGATGCATTGGGCCACCCCCTGGAAAGTGGTCAACTCACCCCAGATGTGTTAGCCGGTGCTGGCTGCGGTGGCTGGAGCACTTGAATGCCTTCCCACAGGGGCCACACACTTAGGGGCAGAGTGCCGAGTGCAGGACACGATGCTACCTGAGGTAAAACAGGCTCTTACACGTTTGTAAGCACATGGGGCAGAAGTGTGATGGGAGCTGGCCCATCTCTTTTTGCATCACCCTGAGCTGCTTCCTCAAGCCACAGAAGGATGTGTGTGGTGATCAATAAGTGACCACTTGAGCTTGCGAGCACAGGTGAGGACAAAATAGGTGACTGAGTTTGAGATGCGTCCCGGGACATTCCCAGTTTTAAAACTGAGAGAAGAAACAAAGAAGAACCAGACAAGAACACAGATGTCTCAGCAGATTTGGCAAATTGCTACCATCTGGCCGCTGACAGGGAGGAGAGAATTCATCCCTAGTTTTTAAATGGGTTATTGAGGCCAGAGAGTGAACCCACCAGTCACAAAGCCCACACGGTGCAGTTAAAACTCAGGGTCCCTGCCTCTTGGGTAAGGCTAAAGGGGAAAAGGAGACCAGTAATGGCCCTGGGAGGTGAGGGCATCTTTCTTGCTACTTTCTCCTGCTTCCCCTGCCACCCATAGACTTGCAGCACACCCCAAGGCTGGAGATCATTCAGTCTTAACAAGAATAGCCCAGAAAAGGGTGTTGTCTTGCCCACTAGAGATGCCACGGTCTAGCTCTGCAACCGTCATCTCTCAAGCTGGACGCTGGCAACTTGGGAAAGATTCCCAGCACGTGGCTCCCCAAAGGCATCAGTTTTGTGCCCATATTAGGAGGAGACTCAGTCTGCCCTAATACACCAGGACATGCTGAGCCAGGTCCCTGGCAAGCCTGAGCAGCCGGGGGCAGAAGGAGCAGGTACAGGGAGCCCAGTAGATGAGCTGAGGCTGGCAAAGACTGCTGGGGCATTGGAAGGCCTTGCCACAAGTCTCAGAGATGAAGCCCCAGATGACCGGATGTGAGAGGCCATAGGCCTTGAGACAGACAGCATTCTGGAAGCCCTGTAGGCACTCGGGACAGCTGTACGCTGGGCAAAACTTCGTGCTTGTCATTGGGCTTCTCCACTCGCACTGTGTGTGTGTAGGTGTATTGTATGCCCATCTGGCCAGAGGCTGAAGGCCCAGAGAAAGAGGAGGAGGAAGGGCCAACTTGTGGCTTGTGGGAGGAGCACCTGACTGGGGCGGGGGAACCCACAGTTGATGAGGAAAATGTCATGGTCATCCTTTTTTTTGCGGGGGGGGCACGTTGCGCAGCATGCGGAATCTTATTTCCCCGACCAGGGATCGAACCTGCGCCCCCTGCAGTGGAAGCACGGAGTCTTAACCACTGGACCGCCGGGGAAGTCCCAGTCATGGTCATCCTTGAATCAGAGGAGAAGCTAAAGGAAGGAAAAACTGCATTGACTGAAGGTGCAGAGAGGTAAGCTAAGGGTTGAGATGACCAGAGAACCTCTCTGCATCCCCCAATCTTTGCTTACCTACGTCATCCTCCACCCCCTACTCCTCAAACCCCTCATCTCTCCAAGGGGCTGGGGGACTTTTCATGGGCCTCTCTCCATGTGCCCAAACCCTAGACTTTCTAACTTTACCACATCTCCATGCTCCTGGGATTTGCACAGCACTCTTGCATCTATCAATCGATTCCTATGATGTGCACTCAGAGTCGCCTCACACGCCCCCAGAATCTGTGGGACCCATGCTTTACCATATTGCCCTCCGTCTCCTCTTTCAAACCCCTTGTGGGCAGGGTGTCCTTTCCCTTTGTCTCCATTCCTCCCCATCAGGGTATCACTCTTCTCTTCTAGGACCTCCCCCAAACTCTCCGAGTTTCTTTTTCTGCCCAGATTCAAGATTTCTTCCTTTCATGCTGGTCCTGTGACACCATTAAGTGTTTCCATCCGTCCAGAAAGAAGTCTCTCGCCTCCAGAGTCTGTATTCGACCCACTCCACCACCTCCCCACCATCCCTTTCCAAAGCCCACCAAGGCCTCCCTGGTTTCTGCCTTTTCTCTGTTCCCGAGGGGTCCTCCGACACGAACCTCCTCGATCCTCCCCAATCGTCCCCGCAATGGGTCAGTCGGGTCCGGTATTTCACACACACACACACACACACACGGTCTTACACACACACACACACACACGGTCTTTCACACACACACACACACACGGTCTTACACACACACACACACGGTCTTTCACACACACACACACGATCTTACACACACACACACGGTCTTACACACACACACACACACACACACACACACACACACACACACACACACACACACACACACACACACACACACACACACACACCCGGCTGCCCACCCGTCCTCGTGCTCCTGGACCCCTCCTCCAGGCATGGCCTTTGCTGTCCGTGAGTTATGAGGAGAGGCCTCCCGAGAGTCTGATCCCGGGATGCAGGAGGCGAAGACAGTAAACCTTCCGGGAGCCCTAAGTGGAGCCGTAGCGCTCCGACCAGCCAGGAGAGGGATGGGGTTCACAAGAAAGCCTTCCGGCCGGAAACACAAACCCTCAAAGGAAGGATTCCAAGTGCCTTCTGTTCCGCTGGCCTGAATCTCTTGTCATTCATTCAACAAATATTTGTTTAGTGTCTCCCATACGCCAGCTTCCGGGGGTAAAAACATGAACCAACCAGACTGAGGTAGTCCCTGCCTTTCTCTACCTTAGACGCAACAAATGTTATCTGTATTGCACACCTGCTGCGACAAGGAACTCTCCTAAGCCTCCTGGGGGCGACAGAGACCAAAATATTGAAATGTCTGCCCCCACCTTAGCGCCTGGGAGAAGCAGGTAGGGATGACATTCACGAGACAAGCTCAACGACGGACAGCGTCCCTAAAGAATCTGACTGAGCCCGAGAGGAGCACTTCAAATAAGAAGCTGTCTCAAATTCAGTCCTAGTGCTTCGCACATGAGGAAACTGAGGCCCAGAGAGGTTACGTGAGACGCTGATGGTCCCAGAGCAAGGGGGTGCCAGAGCCAGGATTACATCCTAAATTCTAAAGCGGGGAGATCTTTACACTTTCTCATCCCAATATCTTCATTTTGGACTTCCCTGGCGGTCCAGTGGTTAAGACTCCGTGCTTCCCTGGTCGGGGCACTAAGATCCCGCTTGCTGCGCTGTGCAAACAAAAAAACTCTAATATCTTCATTATGGGGAAATTGTTCTATGGCCCTCGAGAGTTACAGGATTGAAGCTAAAAGAAGTTTAGGGAAAGAGTTGCCTGAGTGTGAAACAGCCCTCAAGGCTAGCTGTAGATGCTGGCAAGGGAAAACCAGAAGGCTGGGCTTCGGAGCTCCCACCCGCAAGGAGCCCTGTAAAGTCATGAAGAGTCCCTTCTGGCCTCAGTACAGACTGTCTAGAAGGATGAGGCATTCCATGCGGATTTCACAGCAAACACCAGATGTTAATGAGGCAGCTTAGAAACAGTAGGGTTCCAATTCTGGTCGAGAGGCTTGTGGGATCTTAGCTCCCCGACCAGGAATTGAACCCAGGTCCAAGGCAGTGAAAGCACCGAGCCCTAACCACTGGTCCACCAGGGAAGTCCCTTCTCCAGGGAAATCTGAAGAACATTGTGTGACACCATTCCCTGTTTGGTGACTCAGTTTCCCCATCTGTCATGGAGAGGCCACCATTCTTTGTTTTTCCTTTTAATTTTATTTTTCTATATCGAGATGTAAGTTATGATGGAAGAAATTTTCATACGTTGAGGTACGGGGAAGTCCTTCCGGCTGATACATGATTTGACTTGAACTTTATGCTAACCAGAACAGCCTGTCTTATGGCCTGTCAAATGTACACTGCACAGCTGCGTTAACCATTAAAGAAAAGAACGCATTTAAAATCAAAATGGGGGGAGGGGGTGAACTGGGAGATTGGGATTGACATATATACACCACTATGTCTAAAATAGATAACTAATGAGAACCTACTGTATAGCACAGGGAACTCTACTAAATGGTCTGTGGTGACCCAGATGGGAAGGGAATCTAAAAAAGAGTGGATATATGTATATGTATGACTGATTCACTTTGCTGTACAGCAAGAAACTAACACAACATTGTAAAGCAACTATCCTCCAATAAAAATTAATTTAAAAGATAAATAAGTGAAAGGAAAAAA